CGCAACAGAGAAATGCAGTATGTGCATTACACTTAAACTTTTGTGTATGTATAGATCGGTGCACACGAAAATATCGCGCGAGCGATTCCACTGTATCGTGCCCAAAATTCGCGAATCCATTTGGCATCGTCTCGTAAAATTGTTAAGGATGTATTACGTCCATTTTTATTTATTACAATAAAAAAATTATTATGAAAAAATTATAGAATATATCGTACTTAAAACTAATACAACAAAATTTTTCGACCTGAATAAAAATTGTTATGTAAATAAATAATAGAAGTGTATTTTAATGGAAATGTAATTAAGAAACAATAACAATAATCTTTTTATATAAATATTTTAAATATTTAAGATGATTTATGTAAAGTTTTATTGCATTCAGACATTAGATAAAAATTTGTATTTTATTTGTACCATTACTTGTTTCATTTATTTGTACTCTTAATAAAAATAAACATTGAATTTTATAGAACAATTATTTATAGAACAATTAATCTTTGCATCTCTGCAATCTTGCAATGAAACTTTACATAAATCATCTTGAATACTTAAAATACTTATATAAAAAAAAAATAGAGATTTTTTGTTTCTTAATTATACTTAAAGGACAATTATATTTAAATTATATTATTTATTTAAATAATTTTTTATCCGGATTATTTCTAAACCGCTACTAACTTTATTATTTTTAAATGCGATTTAAAATAATGCATTTTTTATTAATATAATTTTAATAATCTAATTTTTTATTATAAATACGCAAATTATAAAAATAGACGTAATACATTCTTAAGCTAGATTAGATATCTCGAGTCAATTGATCAAATCCTATTTACATTACATTCGATTCTGTGTATTTATTCAAGGTCTTAGATAATATCACTAATATCATTTTATACGCTAATCTGGATACTTTTTCTGAGTAAAGTGTTTCGCTAATATTTAATACTGCGGCTTTCGAATGATATAATTTGTGAATCGATATTTGCGCATTTGACAAGAGTTGAAAAAGCATTTTAAATCCCTCTCAAACCCACGTATTCGCGAACAGTCGATATCTGCCATGGCAAGATAGAGTAATCGCGTGGAACAATGTGGCGCGTTTCCTTGATTATGCTGAAGCCGAAAATACGACCGAGTCTCGCGCAGCATTTGTCTCCTATGTTTCGTATATAACGTCATGCAACGTATTTTTTGCATAATCATTTATTGTTTCTTTCTGTCTGTCATCGTGTCTATTATCCATTTTCAATTGAGCTATTGATACCTCGCGCGTAATTTTACTGAAAAAAAATATATTTCTGACATTCTCCTTTCCTTTTCGTCTTCGCTTATTAGCATGTAAATATGAAAAATTTCTATAACATTTATTTTTGTTAGCATTTGAAAAATATCTGGAATGTGTCGAGTCAAACGACAGCCAGAATTGGATTTTATTATTTATGTGCCGCTTTGGCACATCGCACGATCCGCCGTTTTCGCTTTCTGAAAACACGGGCGAAGGCTATCTTCAGTTGTCGCTTTGTTCGCCTCTGTCGGATAAAGAACGTTTAAGACTCCGCGGAAAATTCCGTTGACGCGACCAGAGGGTAGTCGCGCGCACGAAACCAGTATCCGATGGAAAATCTTGCGAAATCTCCTTGCGTTCTAATTCGGTTGTGCGAGCGAACGAGACCCTCGAAGTGCCATCGCCGCACGACCTTCGTGCGCAAAGTCAAGGTGCACACAAAGAAGGATATTGCTCAACACATATTGAATCATCTCGGGTTCGCTTTGTCTATCGAGAAGGTACCGATGAGTTCTTTGTCGACAAGAACATCAGTCTGACATCTGGAAAATATTCTTCCGTAGCTCGGTAAACATTGAAAATTGTCGAAAACTTGATCCACCGTCGTCGACGATGTTGCGAAAAAGCTATTGTCGCTAATTATGTTTTCTAATAAAAGAAAATCTAAAAGTGTACTATCTCGCATAAAAAAAAGAGAGATATATATATATATA